AGTCTCGTCACCATGCTGCGCGTTATTCGCACTTAGAAGAATAATTAAAGACAGCAAGACCGAGTATCCATAGTCGAGACTGGCGTTGAGGCAGCGATGTTTTTTCCTTGATGATTGTCTGTTCAGCTGTCGTAGCCTGGAAGAAGCTCGCCGTCTTATTACGAATTTTGGAGCAACTGAATCCAAGGGTGCATTCCGCTTAAGTAAATGGATGTGTAACAACTGCGAAATTCTGCCCGAAATCACGAAGAATCCGGCATCCAACGAATGAGTTCAATTAACTGTACAATCCGAGAAGCTACTACCTACTCTGGGCTTGAAGTGGCATTTGTCAGATGATTGCATAATCTTTAGCCTGACGAAGTTCGAAGGGACTTCACCCGAAGATCGATTTTATCTTTTGTCGCTTCGATTTATAACCCATTAGGTTTAGTTACATGCTAAGCAACTATTGCAATCTTTCGTATGAAAAGGACTTAGTTGGGATACTCAGGTAGATGGATCAGAAAAAGAAGAATGGTATCGTTTCTCTAGAGACGTCCGGAAACTTGAACGATTAAGGATCCCCCGGTGTATCAAACCAAAGACATTCACTGACGAGGTTGAACAGCTACATTGTTTCTCAGATGCTTCGAAAGATGGGTACGGAGCGGCCATTTACTTTGGGATCATCGACTGAAAAAATCTGATTTGGTCTACCCTCATTATAGGATAGTCGCGCGTTTCGCTCATAAGAGCAGTTCCAATACAAGAATTCGAATTAACAGCTGCAGTGCTTACCTTCCGGTTAGCCATGCAACCGGTTCAAGTGTTGCCGTTAGAGTGATCACCGAGATTTTGGACAGACTCGATGGTGGTTCTACAGCTGATTCTTAATAAGACCAAAAGCTTTCATAACTTTCCTTGCGAACAGGCTATCCGATGTGCATCAGTTTTCTACCCCAAAGCAGTTGAGGTACATGGAAACATTGCTGAACCCTGCAGACATAGCCTCTCGTGAATTGCGACTGAATGATGAACTCCTGATGACAAAATGGCTTGACGGGCCTGGTTTCCTACTTCTCGAAGAAGCCCATTGGTCCAAGGCACCGGAATATTTGTGCGAAATTTCGAACGAGTGTCTGAAGAAAGTAAATGTCGCCAACTGTACACTGTTAACCAACAATTGGTTAGATAGGCTCACAAGTTGCGATAGGTGGGTCAAGCTGAAACGTCGTGTGACCATCTTGTTCAGGTTTAAACGGCATTGGATCAAAAGCTACAGATGTCCGAGTTACCTAACCAAGGGTCGTTTGACGTTGTCTGCACTTAACGAAGCGGAAACGGAAGTGGTGCGAAATGTACAACAACTCTTCTTTGTGGATGAGCTTAACGTAAAAAATGAATCGATCAAATGAAGCAGTTAGGTGCTTTAAACGTGCGAATTGCTCTTTGAAAGGACTGTATCCATGCTTGCATGACGGTATTCTACGAGTGGGCAGTAGATTGAATTTTTCATCATTGCCGTACGACGCTAGACATCCCATCCTGCTTCTCTCCCAACGTTTCATGACCAGACTGATTATTTTAGATTATCATGAACGAAGTGGACATATCGGAGCACCACACGTTCTTTTCGAATTGTGTCCTCGCTACTGGATTCTACGCGGTGTTTCCGCTATTCGCAAAGTGCTAAAGGATTGCGCGCTATGTAAGATATGGTAGGCTTGGTTCTGCGAACAGCAGATGGCCCTTCTCATCGAAGGCCGTTGCGTAGCATACCAACCAGCCTTTACCACGGTCGGCGTCGAACATTTCGGACCATTGGTAAAGGATGAAAGAATAACGGGGCAGTGGTACAGATGTATGTTCACTTGTCTCTCAGTTAGAGGCGTACATATCGAACTAACGCTCGCTATGGATACAGACTCCCACTTGTGCGCCTTCTCAAGGATTGTATCACGACGTGGAATACCACTGAGGGTGTATAGCGATAACGGACAGAATTTCCGAGAAGATGAAGGTGAATTGAAAGCTATTCTTCGACCTTGGAACTAAGATCAGCTGCACCAGACTTTGAACGAAAAAAATCGAATGGATATTCAACCCTCCTTATGCGAGTAATCGTGGCGATACGTGGGAACGCCTGATCCGATGATAGAGTGATACTTGGTAAGCAGCTTGTCAACGATGAAATTCTTCAGACAGCGGCGATTGAGGTGGAAAGAATATTTAACCAAAGACCCTTGATACCCAATCCCGGCCATCCCGACGAATTCGGCACTATATCACAGTCAATTGTTGACTTTAACATCTAACTGGATCCTGGACCACAAGCAGACACAACTTCCCATCTGAATGGCAAGACGGTGGCGTCAGGCGCAACAGCTGTCCGACGAATTATGCAAACGAAGGCATGCGAAGAGCCGCAGCTTAAATACAGCTGGTTTCGTTCTAGTTTCCGATGTATGCACTCCAAGAGGTCTGTGGCTAAAGGGCATAATGGAAGAGGCGAAAATTGGGCACGAAGGACTGGTTCGGGAAGTCCTGGTACTTACGAACAAGGGAACGTTTCACATAGATGTTTGGCAAGTATGCCTACTGGAGGAGACTTTGCATGAGGTGGACGATTCAGAGAAAATCGGTACTTAAATCGCCGGGGGAATGTGAATTCCTAATTCACCAACGTTACTGATACTGTGCAATTCAGAATCGTTTATGTAACTTTACTACTATCTAGTTACAAGTAGTACGTTTTTTATTCACATGTTAAACGAGGATGATCGGACGAATTATTACCAGTGATCACATTCAGAATCTGAAATAACTGCACTGTCCATTTTACATTTTCCCCTTGGTCTTTATTATATTACCTTTCTACTGTTTACTGACAACGAGGTGAAAAGCTCAGAAATCCGATCCCTTTGTTTTAATGCACCACTTATTACGTCCTCGAATGTGCGTGGACTGTCCGAACTGACCACATAGAAGTATATCTGTACGTAAGTACTAGTCCGTTCACTTATTCGCAACTTATACCTTTCTATTTTCTTGATTATCATTTGCTTCAGTACAATTTATTTTGCCCACCGCCCTTCATTCTCACAACCCAGACCATGGGTTTAGCTAAGTGTCGTCAGCTCGCGTGTAAACATCCATTTCTGTAGTATCAGAAAGTGTGCATGAAGTGCGAACTCACGTGATCACTGCGGCGTATAGGAGTACCGATTGTCACTTTCTCGAGCATCAGTTCTTCCGTAGTAAATATTCGGTCCAATACGGATTGCCTATTATTTCCCCAGAGTCTGGTTGGGCGAAGTGACGTTGTAGCGCTTGTAAACTTACTTATCTTTCATTGTACATTCCTTTCCTATTACAACCAATTCTTGTACATTAACCTTGTACACTTGTTTTGATTGATAAATAACACACTTTTTGAACCACGCGGGCAACTCGACGTGTTCTCTCTGTGTTCTTGTGTCGCGGATTTTATGGCATTGTCGATCACTACGTTCTAACCTCGAGCAATATTCATCTACAGATCTCGTTCCGTCTCAACTGGTTTCACCATCCTCGTCGTTGCAATCCATCGGAGTGGCTGACGCAAGAGGACTAGGAAATTTTATGTGGTTGGACTTTTAACCCACGTCGAACCCTTCTGTGAGTCTTGTCAATTTTGATCATCATTTATTCATCTTTATTTCTCTTTGGGTCCGAGTCCACTACATAATTGGTGACCCCGAATTTTTTCTTAGTACTTCATTTTTTGTAAGCTCAGAACTCCCAATACTTTTTTGCACGACTACTATGGAATCCAAACATAACTCCAGTACTTTGAGAAGTGCTGTAAGAAGACGAAAGCTGGTATTTTCAAGCATTGCATTCAGTCACCTCAGTACCACTAACAATAAGTCATATATGTGCGATCAGACAAACTTAAAGTGCATAGTGAATGACGGAATTTCACCCCTACCTCCAGGGACGCCTTAAACTGCCAATAGCTTTTGTCGAATGCACTGGGCTTGTGTATAGCATTACGACAGGGATTTTGTGCAAATGAATATTATGGAATGCCGTGGTGAGCAATTCAACACATCTTGCGAAATGTCTACTTAAACAAGGAGGCACAGCGTGTACAAACTGACCTGTGCCCCTCATGGGATCAGCCGCTTGTTAACTCAAGCAAATAAACAAAGATGTATTTATTAATTAACAAAGACCATTATTCCACACCATATTGAGCTGCCAGATGACCTCATTTGGTATCCCTCAAGGCTCCTAATGTAGCGACTTTGAACTACTCATCAGATCGGACAACTGTCAATGCCGACGGAATCACAATAATCTCAACCGCCATCCAGAGCTTTTGAGAATATCTGCTGATTGACTGGACGTAGCCAATTATCTTTTACTTGTGCGACCGAATACGGGAACTCCGTTTGTTTTCATCCATTCAGGATCACCCTGGTTGTCAGTGGATGGAGTATGTAGAACAGTTAGCAGAGCCATGAATAGCTGTAGGTTGTGAAAGGTAGAGGACAGCCATGCTTCTGAGCAACGAAATACAACCAAACAGTGAGGAAGAAAATGTTGCTGAGATTCTCTCACAGTTGGATGCACAAATCCTATTGCTGTTGTGTTTTGCGGTGAAACGATTTGTCATGCACGAATGCACGAAGACATGTCCGCAACTTTGCTGTATTACAAGGAACTGTACGAAACTTGTTTCGGAATGCCATCAGCCCGTAGTGCCGTGTTCAGGGAGATTGTAGACTCTGTAGTAGGTACTGCTGAAGTATTAGGGGCAGTACTGAAGAGAGGAAAGCACTGGCAACATTAAAAAAATTTCAGCTGAGTGTGATTGAGCGCACTTTTACGGATAGCACGAGTCACATCAGACCATCAGCATTTCGGCAGTAAAGACGTTAGTGATGATCGAATGATAGGAATATACAAAGCCATCATCAGCACATCAAATAACTCACGCAGAAAATACAAATTCCATCCAATAACTGTCAGATCGAGCCATATGTGAACCAAGATCGCGTCAGGCGTGCCAGTGAAATAAATGCTCTGAAAGACCAGTGCTGCGATGCTAATAGGCATGGAGAAGATAACATAGTTCAGTGATAAGATGAAAAAACCGAGTGTGTAACGTAGCCGGTGCCGTTCCGTGGCCTTCATTTTCGCATTTACACGCTTGACCTTGGGCAATCGTAAACGCAGATAAAACACTAGATTGATGACAGCAACTAAAAACGGTTGAACAACACATGCGAGAGAGAATAGCACGCTCAATGTCGGAATCGTTACTTGATCTGGAGAGAACCAGCAGACGAATACATGCCCATACATGGTCCATTTGATGGACCAGCAAATCGGGACGATGAAGCAGGCAGTGGCCACGATGACCGCTAGCACGGCTGTCCACGCAGCACGCCGTTGCACTCGAGCCATCCGAACAGGATGGTAAATTGTGAGTAATCGATCCAAACTGGCCAGGACGAGCACGTTGCAGTTCAGTGTCATGGTGAACATGTGTGCCATGCGAAATACGGTACAGGAAGCGGATGAGATGTACATAGGTGAGAAGTGGGACCGTGCACGCGTGACATAAACGAGACCTTTCACAGAGAATAGCCACAGCCAACCGTAGAGAACCTCCGTGATTACATTTGACACCAGAATGGACAGAAGATAGATGAGTTGTCTGGTGAGGCATCGTGATTTGAAGATGAGAATGGCAATGATGAGGAAGCGGAAGCTAAAACTGAGACTGGCCACGATTGGGTACACATAGGCCGAAAGTCCGCCTGCAATTGCCTCCGTCACACACTTGACAGCTTCTGAACCTGCAGTAGCATTGTTACATTGGCTTAAATAATAATCTGCAAACTGTGGGAATTGCTTCGTAGCAGACATAAGGCGTCGCAGTTCTTTTAGCTGGATGATCCTGAAAATGGGAAGGAAATGCATTACGTGCATGGATAAGGCAGATGGCACTAGATGCAGTAGAAATCATGCATGCGCACTTATGCACATCAACAGTTTTGTATGCAATGTTACTAGTGTACGCCATTCGTAGACCATACAGCTGTGGAGGGGTAGCGGTGTCACAGCTCCCAGCACTAACACTTAACCATGTAGCTAATTAGTTTTCGCAACTTACAGGAAAGTTCAAACTGGATTGAGAACATTCGATTACCGAGTCTGTTGAGTAATGTTTCGCTTTTGACACGAAAGTTTCGTCACGCTAGGGAAGTAGGTACGCGATTTGAGTGCCATTTTATAGCGAACATGGACGATATTCATGATAACAGGGACATGAGGTAAGATGCTGTTACAGTTACAGGTCAGGATGTCGCCATAAGTGGTTCAATCACAGTGAGAATAGTCCAGGTGCTCCCATTGTGCATCATGGCATTGACAAATACGTAAATATTGATAACCAGGAGCGGATGATTTGCCCTTTTCTGGAAGGTTATCCAATGGAGTGGCCGTTTTGTTCAGGCGATTCCTGCGACTTAATGTGCGTGATCAGTTTGGCGGTCGGTTATTTATGCCTCAATAATACCGTGCCTATTGAGCGATTCCTACCTTGATAATTGCACCATTTGTATAGATAGATAGATAGACAGATATAAGAATCATTTCGTTGGAAGCATCACTCCGCTAAGGCTGTGCGATCCATGACTATTCGTCACTGCAGTTGTAGCCAGAACGACGCTGTAGGGACAGTATTTATAGCCAACGAACAACGACTTCACTGGCTAGCACGCACGCTCGCAAGTAGAGGGGACATTCCAGCCCACCACGCACCGCATAGCGTCCTTACGCTCAACGTCACATGCGCTAATTTCAGCCAATCCGCGAGATGCTTTCTCAATGATTTACCTTCATATCTTCGCTTCCGTTCTTCCTATTATAATCGGACTGGATTCGTTCTAATGCACTTGACTAGCTTAATCGCGGTAGCCTCGCTCAGCTTGGGATTATTTCAAAAGGTGTGGTCAAAGGCGCAGCTCTCCGAAAAATCGGGCTCATCACCACTACGTCCCCGGGCCTGATATCCTTTGTTATTCGTAGACTATGTCCAGGGTATTCCCTGGGCCGCGAGTTGCTGTGTCGACTTTCGTCTCTGGTGCCTTCTCTAGCCTTCCTCTCGTTTAGTTTCCGCGCCTCGTACGTTCTGCTTATGATCCTTACGTTCGGCGCCACTACACAGTTACTTCGCACAGCTGTACAGCTCGTACCATCTTAGAAGCTTTGATGCGTCTTAATGAAAATGCATGGAATTTGGACACCATAGCTGATCTGCGAACTGGCTGTCGAAAACATACCCCGAGAGTGCCATATAATGGCAGTGGATCCCACACCATTGCTCACTACAATTGCATTTATACGGTTATATTAACTATCCACGATTATACGGTTGTTGAGATTCCTTCGGGGAAGCATAATTTTAGTAAGATAGTAAGCCGGCACTCTTAGTTTCGTGATATTGATGCTGTTCAGCAAGGGAATAAAAATAACAGAGTTCCTTTTTAAGGAAGAGTGGAGGCTCACGAAAATCCCGATCCGTTTGCTTCATACGGCCAAAACGAGATGAACAGAATGTACTGCTGTCTAGGGGATAACCTTGTTTCAGCATAGCGAAAGTGCTAAGGCGAAGGCACGAGCACAATAACGCATTACCTCGATCGATAGCGATCCGCAAAGTATTAGGGGATCCTACTGATCAGGTAATGAACTCAATGCTGGAGGTCATAGAAGAAACACGCAATACTTCAGCGGCAGTGTTCCCGAACATGGTGGGTTTTCGCCTGTCAAGTGTTCTCCTTACAACACTGCGATGTGACGGATGTGACTCGCCACAAACTAGTCACTGCCCCTTGCTTAATCGGAGAAACACATCCAATCTACGGACGTCAATAATCTCTTCGCACATTGATGACGCGACCAAATAGTGAAAAATGCGACCGCACATATACAAACCCAAGCAACGCAACTACACACATGGCTGGCGGCATCCGGTTTCGGATTTGCCTATCACTGTGGCCAGCTAAAGAACGCCTGCCCCTACAGAGTGACCATGAGTGGCTTGCGCTGCGCCACCCACAGCTACAACCACACACCCTATATCCAGTGTAAACCCAAAGGAATTAGCCCGGGAGGCATGTAGATGGAAGCCACGTTTCATCAACGGAACCGGCTTACACTCCTTCACAGGTAACCACAAGCACTCTGTATTTGGGAATCAGTCATAGTGCGTAATAGACAGGTAGACACCTCGTCAATATGCCCATCAAGCACAAACACACCGGGGATATCAAACAACATACAATCACTGGAGACGACAAACTCAAGTGAATTAAATCAATTAATGCATACAGATATGGTGACATAACGCTTCATTTAATGAGCATATGAAACAAATTTTATATCTAAAGCAGTTAGTTCCCTTCAGAAATTTGAAAAGCACAGTAAGAAGACGAAAACTAGTAGCTGTATGCATTTCGTATTGTCTCCTCAGTACCATTAACAATAACCGGCATGCAATCATATTGTTAATGGTACTGAGGAGACAATACGAAATGCGTGCGTCTACCAGTTTTCGTATTTTTACCGTGCTATTCAAAGTTCTGAAGGGAACTAACTGCTTTAAATTTCTCAAACGACGGACTCTCGCCGATACTATCAAATTGCTTCATCGTATAGTCAGCGTGAGGTGCGCACGAGTGGAAATATGCTTTCTTAGGAAATGTATTCTCCTGCGTAGATATTCACGCTCGGTTCTCACACTGCTGCGTAGAAATAAACTCAAACCATCTGTGGCTAACCTCAACCGTGTGGCAACCGCTCACTTGGAGACGGTCGAGTCCAAACTTCTGGGTTTACTGGATAATCACGCACGCCTACTACATGTGATAGAGGATCTATCCTTGTGTTGTCGTGTTGTGTTCGTTAAATTTTGCAAATCCACTCTCGACCTTACAAGGCGAAATCGAAATACTCGGTTGGAGAACTCGCTTAAGAACAGCCAGGATGAGGAGCTCATCGTTCGTGATCCTAGTAAGTACGTGGTGAATTTATCAGATGTACAACTAGACGCTTTGCAGTTAGAAGATTTGTCATATGGGCTTGATTACAAAATTCCTCCTAGAAGACTGAACGGGTTGTTTATAGAAGCTCAGTTTGAGAACCTTTTTGATCAATTTAAGGAGCTTCAAGCATCCAGTCCTGAGAGTGTTGTTTGGTTTAGAAACAAATCGACCGACATTGCCCACGAAGTTAAGACTGTGCCAGTGACTGAAAACTGCGCACTTACAGGCCGACACCTTCAGACGCTGCGTGAACTGCGTACTAAGAACGTAGTTGTGATGAAATCGGATAACTTTTCTGGAGTGGTGGTCATGAACAAGGCCGAGTACGCTCAGAAAATGAGTAACACACTCAACGACACGAACAAAGTTGAACGGCTTAATAAGATGGAGAAGGTAGCCGACGTTGAAACTAGCATAACTGCCCATCTTGAAATGCTGCTCCTTCATCGCGCGATTGATATTGACATTTATAATTGTTTGAAGCCAAGTGGCTGCACCACTCCGCAGCTATACCGGTCACCGAAGACGCACAAGAGTGGAGTAGTACTTAGGCCCATTCTATCAATGGTAAGTGCGCCGCAGCATAAATTGGCTCGCTGGCTAGTGAAGACATTTTCACCTCTGCGACAACCGTCCAATCCATATAGTCTTAAAGATTCTTTTCAACTTATCGGTGACTTAGATGACATCAACCTGTCCGATAAGGTTATGTGTTCCTTGGACGTGAAATCTCTATTCACCAACGTCCCACTACAACAAACTGCTGATTACATATGTGAGCTAGCTGTGCAATCGAGTTATTCGTTACCAATTTCAGTCGAATTTCTAAAGGAATCCTTACTTCTGTGTACAGCAAATGTTGGCTTCCACTTTCAGAACACCCCATATCGTCAAATCGATGGTGTGGCAATGGGTAGCCCACTAAGCCCTGTACTTGCCTATTTCTTCATGCTGATGATAGAAAAAGACATTTCCGCAGAAATAGCCCAGTTACCATACTATAAGCGTTATGTGGATGACATATTGGCCTTTTGTTCATCGGAGCAGCAGATTGTCCAGTTGGTGCAGCAACTCAACTGTGCACATACCAACTTGCGGGTCACCTGCGAAGTGGAACAAAAGAACTGTCTGCCATTCTTAGACATCCTCATCAGTCGCAGAGATGATGGGCTCATTAAAAGGTCTATCTACAGAAAAGCAACCTGGTCCGGCCAATACCTGCACTTTACCAGCTTCACACCAGTGCGGTACAAGCGGACACTTGTGAAAACTTTAGTTAGTCGTGCTAGACCAATTTGCTCGGCTGATTGTCTAGCCGAGGAGCTAGAGTTAATTAAAACAACACTCGTCGCAAATAGCTATCCACGTAGATGTATAGAGAGACACAGCCAACAGCGAGACCCGAAAGACTTGGTGCATACGGCAGCCAAGAAAAAGATCTATATCGAGTTGCCTTTCAAGGGTGACTTCACTGTACTGAAAACCACGAAACGTCTAATCTCTGCTACGCAGAGCAGTTACTATGCTGCTCAGGTTGTGGTCATCAATAGAACCTGTAACTTGCCGGTGCCTCCAACGAAGGAAGTTCAACCGATAGGGGCCAACCCACACTGCATATACAAATTCGTGTGCGACTGCGGAACCAATCTGTCTTTGACTTCCCGAATAAAGGAACACGTGCCAAGGTGGGTTCAACGTGAAATTGACCAGCATCC